AGCCTCCTTGGGCCACAGTTTTTTTTTTCTGAGGAAAGGGCTTTCTTTTACAACATTTTGAGTAACCCGGCAGTTTCCGTTTCTCATGTACTCCCTCCGTCCCATAATATAGAGCGTTTTTGCACTAGTGACTATTGTTTGGCTAGTCACTGGTGAGAATCAGTCATACAGTTAACTATTTCTTCCACTGAAAAACATAGTTAAATGTCTCTCAAAAAAACAAAAGTTAACTTTCCTTCTTTTTTCTTCTGTTTGAGGGTTTTGTAGCTTAAGATTCAATCGACTGTAACAGGATTAGGACGACCGGGCTAGAATCTTAAAACCTGACAAGATATCCCTCCCAGTTTTCTGTCTTACAATCGTCCATGACTTGCAAGGCATGAACCATATATAAGAAAAACATTGTGCTAGAATTTTAAAGCAGTTTGAAACCCAAGAATTTGTTCTGAACCTCACACGTGTTCAGAGAAATTACAGTAGTGGGTGATGCCCCGGTTGGCGCTAAGTTGGCTAAGATTTGCATGTCAACATTTTTTGCAAGACCTGGGCTGGGCGGTTGAACACGTACATACACCTCGTCTGGTCTGTACTGTACTGTACTGCACACATGTGTGCATCTTCTTCTAATACCTCTGCATGCTATTCATCCAGCACACAGATAATCAAACAAACAGATGAAACCCACCCAGTAGAAAACAACAACCTTTTCGAAAAAAAAGTAGAAAACAACAACGGTCATTTCCTCTTCTCCTTCTCCTTCTTAACTGAAAAAAAGTAGAAAATAACGACGGTCATTTCTTCTACTTGGGGTTAAGTGTGAAACTTTGGAGGTTCGGAGTGTAGTGTTGGGTGAGTTTGCGGTAAAGTTTCGGGTCAGAACTAAAGCCGATGGATTCAATTGGGCTTTGGTGGCGGTATATGGAGCTGCGCAACCAGAACTCAAGCCAGATTTCTTGGCTGATTTGGTCCGTGTTTGCAGTAACGAGAAGCTACCCGTCTTAGTGGGTGGTGACTTTAACATTATTCGAAGAAAGGAGGAAAAGAATAATGATAATTTTGACGGCAGATGGTCGTTTATGTTCAATACTATCATTGAAAGCTTGGATCTCAGAGAGATAGAGCTCTCGGGTAGGACATTCACTTGGGCAAACTCGTTACCGGTTCCGACTTTTGAGAAGCTTGACCGTGTTTTGGCTAGTGTCGATTGGGAACAGAAGTTTCCCCTGTCAACGGTGCAGGCGTTGACACGAGGTATCTCGGATCACACACCGCTACTAGTCGACTCGGGGGCTCAAACTCATGTGGGTAATAAGAATATTTTCTCGTTCGAACTTGCTTGGTTTGAAAGAGAGGGTTTCCTCGAGTTGTTAGCTAGAGAGTGGGCTAAAGACTCGGGTAGAAGGTCACCCATTGAGCGGTGGCAGTGCGAGATTCGTCATCTTCGAAGGTTCCTTCGTGGATGGGCCAAGCATACGCATGGGATATATAAGGCGGAGAAGGAAAGACTCCTCATGCTTATTCACACCCTTGAGTTAAAAGCTGAAACCTCTATATTAGATACCAGTGAGCTGGAGACTAAAATGGAGGCCGAGTTGTGGCTGAAAGAGCTTCTCCGCGAGGAGGAATTGAAATGGGCATTGAGAGATAAGGTTCGTAAAATCGTCCAAGGCGAGGATAACACTCAATTCTTTCATATGATTGCTAATGGAAAGCATCGTAAGAAGAGAATTTTCCAATTAGAACAAGATCAAGGGACGATAGTTGGTTAGGAAAGCCTGAAAGTTTACATTACCAACTATTATAAGCAGTTGTTTGGACCTCCGGAAGAGAATTTTGTGTCCTTGGATGAGTCAATGGTTGATGATGTTCCTCAACTTGAGACGGACGAGAATGAGATTTTGACTGCTCCCTTTACGGAGAAAGAGGTGTTTGAGGCCATTGCACAAATGAAAAACAATAAAGCGCTAGGACCGGATGGGTTTCCGGCGGAGTTTTATAAAAAGTGTTGGCACTTCATTAAGGGAGACCTGATGCCGATGTTTCATGAGTTTTTCAATGGTCATCTTCATTTGTTCAAGCTCAATTTTGGAACGATAACTCTTCTTCCTAAGAAGACAGAGGCTATTCGCATTGAGCAGTTCAGGCCTATATGTTTGCTTAATGTCAGTTTCAAAATCTTCACCAAGGTTGGGACGAACAGACTTTCGCAGATTGCGCATTCAGTTGTGCAACCGTCCCAGACTGCTTTCATGCCAGATAGAAATATCCTTGAAGGGGTGGTCGTCTTGCATGAAACGCTCTATGAGATCCACTCAGAAGAACTAGATGGTGTAGTTTTTAAAGTGGATTTCGAAAAAGCATACGATAAAGTTAAATGGCCTTTCCTTCAACAAGCTTTACGTATGAAAGGATTTGACACGGCCTGGAGAGACCAGATTGAGTCCTTTACGCAAAAAGGGAGTGTAGGGATTAAAGTGAATGATGATATAGGTCACTATTTTTAGACACACAAAGGATTAAGGCAAGGAGATCCCATGTCACCGATTCTATTCAACATAGTGGTTGATATGCTATCTATTTTAATAGGACGGGCTAAGGATGCGGGGCGGGTAAGTGGCTTGGTTCCGCACCTAGTTGATGGCGGTATATCCATATTATAGTATGCTGATGATACTATCATCTTTATGGAGCATGACTTGGCGAAAGCGAGAAACATGAAGCTTGTGTTATGCTTATTTGAACAATTGTCCTGGCTCAAAATTAATTTCCACAAGAGCGAATTGTTCTGCTTCGGAAGAGCTAATGATAACCAGGAGGCGTATAAGCAATTGTTCATATGTGAGTTGGGTTCGTTACCGTTCACGTACTTAGGTATACCCATTCATCATCGTAAGCTGACTAACAAGGAGTGGAAGTGCATCGAGGATCGTTTTGAAAAGAAACTGAGCTGTTGGAAAGGGAAGCTTATGTCATATGGAGGGCGATTAATTCTGATTAATTCGGTCCTCACCAGTATGCCTATGTTCTCTTATCCTTTTTTGAGGTCCCGGTGGGGGTCAGGAAGAGGTTGGACTTTTATCAATCTCGATTCTTTTGGCAGAATGATGAGCTTAAACGAAAGTATAGGCTTGCAAAATGGGACATCATCTGTAGGCTGAAGGACCAAGGGGGTCTAGGCATTGAAAATCTGGATGTCAAGAACAGATGTCTCCTCAGCAAGTGGCTATTCAAACTTTCGTCCGAGACAGAGGCTACTTGGGCTCAGATTTTGCGAAATAAGTATCTTCAGTCTAAAACATTGGCACAGGTGACTGTGAGACCGACTGACTCACCATTTTGGAAAGGGTTGATGAGAGTCAAGCCCCTCTTTTTCAACAGGGCAAGGTTCTTAGTCGGAAATGGAGCTAATACGAGGTTCTGGGAGGATACGTGGCTTGGGGAGACGCCCCTTGCACTTCAATATCCTACTCTGTACAACGTTGTTCAACGTCGAGAAGCTTACGTTGCAAACGTTTTACAGTCCACGCCCCTCAATATTAGTTTTCGGAGGACGCTAGTTGGCAATCGTTGGGAGGCCTGGCTTCATCTTGTAAGACGGTTGATGGATGTCCAGTTGTCTCAGCAGCCAAATCGGTTGTATTGGAAACTGACTAAGGACGGCGTGTTTTCGGTCAAATCCATGTATCTGGATGTCATAAACTCTAGTGTCATTCCCTCCTCGAAGCACGTTTGAAAATTAAAGGTACCTTTGCGAATCAAAGTGTTTATGTGGTTCGTGCATAAACAAGTCATTTTGACAAAGGATAATCTGGCATAACGCAATTGGATGGGTTCTGCTAGGTGTAGTTTTTGTGATCATAATGAAACTATCAAACACCTCTTTCTAGATTGTCCGCTGGATAAGATTCTTTGGCGTTCGATTCATATTGCTTTTAATATTACTCCACCTACCTCCATCAACATGTTATTTGGAACGTGGCTTGATGGGGTTGACTCAGATATAGCGAGGCACATTCGTGTTGGAGTTTGTGCCTTATTATGGGCAGTCTGAAACTGCAGAAATGATTTGGTTTTTAACAGAACAACGAACATTCACTTTTTGCAGGTTATCTTCAAGGCCACAGCATTGATCCGTATGTGGTCGTTACTCACTCCGATGGAGGCAAGGGGGCGTTTGGCTACTGCGTCTACCCGATGGAAGATGGTAGCTCGGGTTATTTTCAACCGGTTTGGATGGCGGTCATATAATAGGATAGGCATATGTAGTGATCCTATTTTATTTGCCAGCCGGTTGTGGCTTTTTGATTAGGCTCTTATGAGCGTTTTTTTTTATTTCGTACTTCGAGACTTTGGAGACTTTGCTACTGGTTTCTTTTTAATAATATGAGCTGTATGCATCTTTCTGATGCAGAGGCTGGGGTAACACCCCTTTTCGAAAAAAAACTGAAAAAAAAGATGAACACTTATATCTCTCAATCCAGCTGTTTCAACTTAAATGAATGCATTATCAATCAAATTAAGCTACACATGAGTACTTAGTACATACACAACAGCGAAACTTCACCTAAATGTGAACTTAATTGATACTCGCTCCGTCCGAAAAAGCAGTCTCTTAAATGGATGTACATAGCACCAAATTAGTGCTAGAAACATTCATTTGAGGAACAAGCTTGGGACAAACTTTTTTCGGACTGAGGGAGTACTTAACACTAGTAATCAATGCGGAAAAAACCTGATAGTACAAGATTCCCTGAAAACCAGATAGTAGGATGTAGCAGAGCAACTAACACAACTTCTAGGACACCTTTGTTCAGGCATCACCACAGCATTCCAATCAAGCCAGCAACACACCATCACACACTTGCATTCAATAGAAGATCACCTGAATAGATGACGGGAGAACATGTGGCATCAGGGCGTGAGAAAGGATGCATACAGAAAGTGTTGTAGTATGAAACTATTGATTATGATTAAATACCTGTTGAGTTGGTGGTGAAATTTCATGATATTACAGCTCCCCATTGGTCCAAGATAGATAGCCTGGGATGATTGGGATGGCTATTTGCCTCATTTCTTATCTCGCCAGCTGCAGCAGAGTTGCTTTCAGAAGATGTGTCACCATCACTATAAAGTTTAACAAGGGCATCTCTCAGACATGGGAGGTGGCAAAGACCAAACTGGAATCCATAGGCTTCCGCCACTGAAATAAAGATTAATTCAACCTTCTCCAGATTTGGCATTCTCCCTTCTTCAAACGTCAAGTAAAATGCACTTGCACTATACTCAGTATAATAAAGGCAGAATACCTTCAAACACCGGAACCCAACGCCTTGTACGGTAAACCTTTCCTTTTGGACAGTTTCGAATGATATATTCAGATCAAGTAAGGCAGGCAACTCTCCAAGCAGCCGCAGATCCTCCTCGGTTGCTTCAATCAAATTAATGTTCAGGTATGCAAGACTGGTGAGTGCTGGTACAATCCACTTTGGCATCTTTGGGAAATAGTGGTAAGTGGTCATCTCAAATATTTGGAGGTTATATGGCAAAGGGGACCAAGAATCTAAGTACTGGAGGGTTGTTGAACTAAAAACTACTAGTGAACCTTTAATGCGTAGAGACTGAAGTTTGCAGGTGCCAAGCTTGCATAGTGAGGAGAGTAACATCTCTTCATGCCTCTTGTATTCATGAAATACATCCTCATCCAACTGTAAATGGAGCTCTTTCAAACTGGTCAGATTCCCCAGTTCCTCGACTGCACATATCGAACTCCTCATAATATTAAAGACCAAGATCACCTGTAAATTCCTCATATTTCCAATCCCATTTGGTATCTTCGTTCTACTATAAACATCACCGTGAACGGTGTTTCCACTGAGTAGATGTTGTAGCTTAACAAGCTGAATAAATCCAGTGGGAAATTCTTTTATATCTGTATCTCTAAGATCTAGCGTCTCTAGACCATACAACCTCACAATTCCTGATGGCAGCTCCTGCATACTAGTGCCCCTGAAGCTCAGGTACTTCAGCTGGAATAGTTTATCTATATCCTTCATATCATACTCTTCCAGAATACGGCAGTCTTGAAAATCTAGCACACGCAAAGCTTCAAGCTCAACAAACCTAGGAAAGTGATTGATGAATTTTGATGTCATCACCGTCAACGACCGTACATGAATTAGATCTTCATTTGCCAATACGGATGCAAACTCTTGGTCAATATGCTGGACTGATAGTCGCCGAACAAGAACATGGCGATTTGCCAAATCAGTTTGACCATGGCCTGCCAAAGTGATGAAATTATCTTCAACTGATTTTGAAATAATGAGCTCAAGCATCATGTCATGGACTTTACAAGCACGAGCCTTTCCGTCATATCCAATGTACATTGGTTGGGCCATGCTTTTGTTTATTAGCTCATAGAAGTGATTCTCTGCAACCTCTTGTTTGCTCAGGCCACGCTCTTTAGAGATAAAGCCTTCTGCTATCCATCGCCTCACTAAAGTATCTCTCTCAATCACATAATCCTCAGGATATATACTTAAATATAACAAACAAGTCTTAAGATTAGGTGAAAGATCATTGTAGCTAAGGCATAGTATTCTGTTCATTCCATCTAAGCTTCGATTTTTCTCTAATGCAGAACCTATAGACCTTTTGACCCTTTCCCACTCATGTTTGACCACCGGTTTGTTTGCCAATAAACTTGATATACTGATAATTGCCAATGGGAGGCCTCCACATTTCTTTAGTATTTCATATGAAACTTGTTTTAGCACATCGGGGCAACATTCCTCGGAACCAAATATTCTTTTAGAAAATAATATTTTGGAGTGCAGATCACTTAGGGCTTCCATTTCATATATTAGACCATTACCACCTAGACAACATGATCTTGCTACATCAACAATGCGTGTAGTAGTTATTATTCTACTAGAAAAATTATTCTCCAGGAAAGCACACTTAATGGCGTCCCATGCTGATGTGGACCATATATCATCAATAACAATGAGATACCTAATAGATAGAAGTAGATAATGTTAACAAATTATGAAAAAAGAATTCAAGTACAAAACATAAAGATAGCAATATCATGTATATAAAGAATTCAACCATAATATAATGAAAAGACTACAAGCTCCAAGAGGATGGTAATAGTTTTTTATAAAGAAAACAATAAATAAACCATGATACCCTCAGTGTCATATAAAGTGCAAGTACTCAGAAAGTTAATTAAGATCTACCGTGTGTTTATTGCTTATGTTGACATTTGTAGTTTACTTTCTTAACCGAGACTTGAACCATAGTTTGGAACTAAAAAATAACCAACTAAAGTTCAAAAACCTCTAAATTTAATAATATTTGCCTCATGATCATACAAGCACCATCCCCTTTCACAATACTTGTTTGAGTAAGAATTTTCCATCTAGACCACTTGTTTGAATATCTATTTAATGCATGTTGTGGCATAATTAAAACTCTATTTAAATAAATTATATATGCTCATTTTTCAACAACTTAGGCTTATGTTATTTATCCTTTAAAGGTTCACAAGAAAACAATTGTGTCATTTAAGTATATCATTAACCTTTAATCTCTATACATATTCTTTACAATTTATTCTTCTTGACTGCAATGTAGTCATGCTATGATTAAATAATTGTCCTAAATATATTTGTTAAAAAAGGGAGGATGAACTTACCTCTTATCTTGTAAGAGTTCTTTTAGCTTGGCAATACGTTTTGTTTCATCCCAGGTGTCGATACCTTCTGTAAGATCTTGCTTGCAAGCCACCTGGGAGATCAGTTCCTTCATAATTGTCTTTAAATTAGCCTTTTGCGAGACCGAGACAAAAGCATGGGAATGAAAATGCCCTTGGATCTTGCGGTAAACCTCTTTTGCCAATGTCGTTTTTCCCAATCCACCGAAGCCAACAATGGACAACACCTTGCGATGCCCAGTCGAGCTATTTTCATCTTCCAACGTCCAATTGGCAAGATCATCTCTTGGACCATCAATGCCCACAAGGTGTGCTTGGTCAACAAAAAGAGCTGACAATCGGGGATCCACTACTGAATGTTCAAAGCGGGGATCCGCAAATGATTCATTCATCACATCATCCAGCTTGTAACTAGTCTTCAACTCTTTTACCTCCTTGAGACGAATCTTCAAATCGTCGATTTTGTTGGCAATTCCACGACGAGAACCCATAGTCTTGAGACGGCGAGCAATCTTGCGGAAAAACTCCTTGAAGCCACTCTGGCGGTGGCCGCCATTACCAAGCTGGTGGATAAACTTGTCGATGACATCCTCGATGTCATAGGCCAGCTCCCTCACCAGGGATATCCACGCTTTCACCTGGACATCGGGATCTTGCAGCGTCGTGTACTTCTGGACCGCGGCATGCATGCCGGTCAGCTCAGCTTTGAGCGAGCGGATATCTCGGCGGACGCCTTTCAGCCGGGAATACTCACCGGCAAGCAAACCGGTGAGCTTCCCCAGCAGGGGACCCAACACACCGTGCGAAGCACTCACCGCCTCCATTGACCTCTAGCTCTCTATTGCTCTCGTTTGTGCTTGGTGTGGAAAGAAAGTGCAAGAAGAGGACTCGTACTACTCCGGCTAGCGGACGAGATATGGATTTACTGGCCAGGAGATGAGATATGGTGAAGAAATTTCTGACGACTGAGGCCCCAAGTCGGCGCACGCTCCAACTTTTCTTGGACTCGAGTGTAGATATTTTCTTAGTCTCTCGCCATGCTGCTCAGGCTCTACCCATAAAAAATTGTGAAAGGACAACTTCGGTTTTTTTCAAGGTCACCGGGATGTTTTTACAGACCACCTGAATATTTCATTAAGCTGCGGAGGCGGATTTATAGCGTTCGGGCGCATAGTTGCCATGTTTCCGGTACGGTGGGAACGAGGAACGGGAACGAGGGACGAGAGTCGGTGGCTGAAAAAAATAGGGTACAACGAGGGGATACATCTCTCGAACGAATTTTTTATAGCGGGGACGCGGTCCAATCCGTTTGGGTACGATGAACCCGGTACGGTACCATAGGTCGAGGAACGCAGTTCCTGAAGAACGATGACTGCCTGACGGTCAGCATTCCTTGCTGTTAATGGATCCCTTGCAATTATTGGACTGGAGGAAGAACGAGGAGTCCTTGAGAAAAGAAACGACGGCGTGAGTAAATTATGCCTCGCGTTTTGGCTGTTGGATCCTGGAACCGGAATCGAGGAGCAGCTGCAGGGACGCCGAATCTTCATCGAATCGTACCGAATCCGACCTTGTTCCCGAATCCGATTCTGGGTCGATGAATCGGGATAGAGGGACGGCCTACCGTTCCCTGTTTCCGGCTACTATGTTCAGGCGTCCGCAGCCAGAGAAAATGTTGTGGATAAGCTCGTGCTTAATCTAGCCAATTTCACTAGCAGCACAATTTTTTACTCGTTACTTCTGTTTTTCATCTCTCTATTAGTTAAGTGAGTCCTGCAGTTAACTTAGGTTTCTCTTACTGTAAACTTCTTCCTTCCTTACTCTGCTTTTTGCAGCTTGTGATGCAACTGTCACACGACGACCTCATGACTCGTCCTACCCGCCATCTTTGACGTCTTCGAAACCCACAGTCCATATGTTCGCAAAGTTCATTCATTCCCACTTACTTTTATAGGCCGTGTTTTAAATCATCTTCAACTTTTCTGGCAACGCCGTTCCCTTTTCTTTCATCTTCCTGGAGGTCTGAATCCTGAAAGCAAGAGTTCAGGGAACCAGATAGAAGATTAAAGCTTAACATGATAAGCCAGGTCCTAGGTCGTCTTCAACCGTTCGGTCCACACACGCATGAACCCCATCTAATTTTTTTCTAGAATTTAAACTTGTCTCAAGCTCAGAAGTTGGTTCACTGAAAGTTCCACAATGAACAAAGCCCATCAAAGCAAAATTTCACGGAACCATCCAAACTACCCTTTCTTGCACGAATCAGAGCATGTACACATTGTGCTGGTCTGCAAGAATTTAAACCTGTCGAAACTCTGAATTTGTTCACGGGAAGTTTAACAACACTTGTCTGTGTGCACCCCATGTGTCTATCCTGAACCCTGACACGACTATGCATCTTCCATGCCCGTCTTCTCAGCAAACAGATTGTCAAACGGATGCCCTTCTTCTTATTAGTTGGAAAACCAAAAACAAGAGCACCGAAATCTGAAAGTCGGCCATAAAAATTCCTGCAGCATGTTCTTGCTGAATCAAATCAATCTCGAGTTTACCCTATGCTGCATATATTATGGCAAGCTATTTTGTTGTGCCTGGTGGACCGTGGACACCTACCTGAAGCTGGGGCCGGTAGTGGCGCCGCACCTGGAACGGTTGGGCGGCGCACAGCTGCTGCAGCCACGTCGGCGAGCAGACCGTCCAGGGCGAACGTCTGATAGTTAAAGGCGGCATCTGGTAGGCGTGTACGTGCAGCTACATCTCTTGTGATTCATTCACTCAATGCAAACATCAATAGTACAGTGCTGCCTGAACGGTTCTAGTAGAAGAAGAAATGAACGGAGAACTCTGACCTGTTCCTTGCTCGATACCCTGTTCCTCAGAACGAAACCAAACCATACTCTGTTTCGCTCTTCATAACGAAACCAAACAGAGGCCACTTGGGCTAACCCAGCAATTTCCGCTTCCCTTGTACCGCCCATAGTGTGTAGAAAGAAGCCCAACAACACTCACCGGTGTGAGTCAGTCATACAGTTAACTTTTTCCCGTTTCTCAAAAAAAAAAAAAAAGTTAACCGCTCCTTCCATTTTCTCAAAAAAATAAATTAACTGTTTCTCAAAAAACAAAAGTTATTCCCTTTTTTCAGTTTTGATCTTGCCGCTTGAAATTTGATCGACTGTAACAGGGGCGACCTGATGACTCATTTGTCTACATTTCTACCTGACGCCTTCGAAAATCTGAAGTAGTCCATATGTTCTCAAGGTTTCATTCCTTCTTACTTGCAGTACTAATCGTCTTCAGTTTTCCTGTCAACACAGCTTCTTCTCTTTGATCTCCCCAGATTTCCCGAATCCCAAAAGCAATAGCTCATAGAAGCTTAAAATCTGGCAAGATATCCCTCCCAGTTCTGTCTTTCAAGGACTTGCAAAGCATTAATATATAACATCCAGACATTGTGCTAGAATTTAAAAGTAGTCTGAAACTCAAGAACCTGTTCTGTTCTGAAACTGACGTGTTGACGGCAAGTTCAGTAGTGGGTGAGGCCCCCTGGTTGCACTATGTTGGCTAGATTTGCATGTGAACATTTTTTTTGCAAGACCATGAAGAATACCTGGGATTGATATTGAGCATCTCCCACCATTAGCACAACTCGACATTTCAATGATACATACACTTGGGGTGTCCCTAGCCATGATCCACCAGATATCAAATCCCTGTCCGTCCACCCTCGGCATCTCGCCTCGGACCGTTGAACATGTACATACACCTTGCCTGTATTGTACTGTACTGCACTGCACTGCCCCAGGGTGCGCATTCTGAGTTCCTGAATCGGTCCTGCATCTTCTTATATACTGTACTCCCTCCGTTAATAAATATAAGAGCATTTAGATCACAATATTGATCTAAATGCTCTTATATTTATTTACGGAGGGAGTACCTCTGAAGCACGCCAATCACTCACTCAGCACAGAGAAGATCAAGCAAACAGATGAAAGTCACCCGGTAGAAAACAACAATGTTCAGTAGATTACTGGAGCTCATTATCCTCTGCTGCCAGAAAATTTCATGATTTTTTCAGATTTTGTTGAAATTTATTTGGATTTGGAGATCTGTTTTCTGTTTTGGTGTGGAATTAACGAAATATTTCCGGAATGTCCGAAATTTCGTGGATCACAAAAATTTTCCATCACAATTTTTTCTTCCTGGTTCAGAGTATAACAGTTGACCTTACAGTACAAGAATTCAGAGTATAGCAGTGACAAGATAACGTTTCAACTCTGAAACCTGACAGCACATCTCTCAATATTTCAGCTTAACTTAATGAACAACACATCAATTAAATTACACACCAGTACTTGAGTACGTACACAACAGAGAAACTTCACCTAGAAGTGAACTTAATTCTTAACAGTAGTAATAACTGCAACAACATCTGATACAAGAATACAAGAGTTCTAGAAAACCAAAAGGAATGATGGCTTTATTTGAGTTTCCACCGACAGGCACTCCCATCTGGAAGGCAAAAGGAACGATAGCTTCAGGGTTCAGGCATCACCACAACATTCCAATCAAGGCAGCAGCACACCATCACAACAGACTTGCATTAAATCGAAGATCGTCTAAATAGATGAAGGGAGAACAAGTCACATCTGGGCGTGAGAAAAGTTGTTTATAGAAAGCATTGCATGAAATTAAATTATTAATTATGATAAAATACCTCTTGCATTCGTACTGAAATGCTATGATATAATGATTCCCTGGCAGCTAGTTCTCTTTCATTTTGTCCCAGAAAGATAGCCTGGGGTGATTGGGATGGCTATTTGCCTCCTCCCTTATAGCGGTAACTGCAGCTTTGCTTTGGTAAGGTGTGTCATAATCTTCGCAACGAGTAATTCTGGCATCTCTCAAACATGGGAGGTGACCAAGACCCAAGTAGAACCCATATGCTTCTGCAACTGAAATAAACATCGGCAGCTCAAGCTTCTCCAGCTTTGGCATTGCCCCTTCTTCAAACATCAAATAAATTGCACTTGCACAATGGGTTGCACGAATAAGGCAGAATTCCTTCAAACACGGGAATCCAATGCCTTGTAAGGCGAGCCTTTCTTTTTGGACACTGCTGATTGATAAATTCAGACAAAGTAAGGCAGGCATCTCTCCAAGTATCCGCAGACTCTCTTCTGTTACTTCAATCAAATTCATGTCCAGATATGCAAGACTGTTGAGTGCTGGTACGATCCACTTTGGCATCTTTGGAAAATAGTAGTCAGTGCTCATCCGAAATACTTGGAGGTTGTATGGCAGAGGTGACCAGGAATCTAAGAACTGGAGGGGTGTTGAATAATTAGAGTATATCCGTAAAGACTGAAGTTTGCTGCTGCCAAGCTTGCATAGTGACAACTTTATTCGAAGAAAGGAAGAAAAGAATAATGACAACTTTGACGGCAGATGGTCCTTTATGTTCAATACTATCATAGAGAGCTTGGACCTCAGAGAGATAGAGCTTTCGGGTAGGAAATTCACTTGGGCAAACTCATTACCGGTTCCGACGTTTGAGAAGTTGGACCGTGTTCTGGCAAGTGTTGAGTGGGAACAGAAGTTTCCTCTGGTAACGGTGCAGGCGTTGACACGAGGTATCTCGGATCACACACCGCTATTAGTGGACTCAGGGGCCCCAACTCATTTGGGTAATAAGAATATTTTCTCTTTCGAACTTGCTTGGTTTGAAAGAGAAGGATTTATCGATCTGTTGGCTAGAGAGTGGGCTAAAGACTCGGGGGGAAGGTCACCCGTGGAGCGGTGGCAATGCAAGATTCGTCATCTGCGAAGGTTCCTTCGTGGATGGGCTAAGCATACGAACGGAATTTATAAGGCGGAGAAGGAAATGCTCCTTATGATGATTCACACCCTAGAGTTGAAAGCTGAAACCTCTCTTTTAGATACCAAAGAGTTGGAGTCTAAATTGGAGGCCGAGCTAAGGCTGAAAGCGCTTCTCCGTGAGGAGGAATTGAAGTGGGCTCTCAGAGCTAAGGTTCGCAAGGTTGTCCAAGGTGAGGATAATACCCAATTCTTTCATATGATTGCTAACGGAAAGCATCGTAAGAAGAGAATTTTTCAATTAGAACAAGATGAAGGAACGATAGTTGGTCAGGAAAACCTGAAAGTTTACATTACCAACTACTATAAGCAGTTATTTGGACCTCCGGAACGGAGTTTTGTGTCTTTGGATGAGTCAAGAGTTGAGGATGTTCCCCAACTTCAGACGGAAGAGAATGAGATTTTGACTGCCCCTTTCACGGAGAAGGAGGTGTATGAGGCCATTGCACAAATGAATAATAATAAAGCGCCAGGACCAGATGGGTTTCCGGCGGAGTTCTACAAAAAGTGCTGGCATTTCATTAAACATGACCTGTTGCTCATGTTTCATGAATTGTTTAATGGTCAGCTTCATTTATTCAAGCTTAATTTTGGAACAATAACTCTTCTTCCTAAGAAGACAGAGGCTATTCGCATTGAGCAGTTCAGACCCATTTGTTTGCTTAATGTAAGTTTCAAAATTTTCACTAAGGTTGGGACGAACCGACTCACGCAGATAGCGCATACGGTGGTGCAACCGTCCCAGACTGCTTTCATGCCGGATAGAAATATCCTTGAAGGGGTGGTCGTCTTGCATGAAACGCTCCACGAAATTCACTCAAAAAAACTTGATGGGGTGGTTTTTAAAGTGGATTTCGAAAAAGCATACGATAAAGTCAAACGGCCTTTCCTTCATCAGGCGTTGCGTATGAAAGGATTCGACAAGGCATGGCGCGACCAAATTGATTCCTTTACGCAAAAAGGGAGTGTAGGGATTAAAGTGAATGACGATATAGGTCACTATTTCCAGACACATAAAGGTCTAAGACAGGGGGATCCAATGTCACCGATCTTATTTAACATAGTAGCTGATATGCTATCTATTTTAATAGGCCGGGCCAAGGAGGCGGGGCAGGTTTCGGGCTTGGTTCCGCACCTAGTTGATGGAGGTATATCCATTTTGCAGTATGCTGATGATACGATCATCTTTATGGAGCATGACTTGGTGAAAGCTAGGAATATGAAGCTTGTGCTGTGCTTATTTGAACAATTGTCTGGACTCAAGATTAACTTCCACAAGAGCGAATTGTTTTGCTTTGGAAGAGCTACTGAGGACCAGGTGGCGTATAAGCAATTGTTCGGATGCGAGTTGGGTTCACTACCGTTTACTTACTTGGGCATTCCCATTCATCATCGTAAGCTTACGAACAAGGAGTGGAAGTGTATTGAGGATCGTTTTGAAAAGAAACTAAGCTGTTGGAAAGGGAAGCTCATGTCATATGGAGGTCGATTAATTTTGATTAATTCGGTTCTCACAAGTATGCCTATGTTTCTTCTATCCTTCTTTGAGATCCCGGTGGGGGTTAGGAAGAGATTAGACTTTTATCGATCCCGGTTTTTTTGGCAAAACGATGAGTTGAAACGTAAGTATAGGCTTGCCAAATGGGACATCATCTGTAGGCCCAAGGACCAAGGCGGTCTAGGCATTGAAAATCTAGAGATCAAGAATAGATGTCTCCTTAGCAAGTGGCTTTTTAAACTTTCATCCGAGACAGAGGCTACTTGGGCACAAATTCTGCGTAATAAGTATCTTCAGTCAAAAACTTTAGCTCAGGTGACGGTGCGCCCAACTGATTCACCGTTTTGGAAAGGGTTGATGAGAGTCAAGCCCCTCTTCTTTAACAGGACAAAAATCTTAGTTGGTGATGGAGCTACTACGAGGTTCTGGGAGGATACGTGGCTAGGAGAAACACCTCTGGCACGTCAATATCCCACACTGTATAACATTGTTCAACGTCGAGAAGTATACGTTGCAAATGTCTTACAGTCAACGCCTCTCAATATTAGCTTCCGGAGGACACTAGTGGGTGAACGATGGGAGTCATGGCTTCATCTTGTACGACGGCTGATGGATGTCCAACTGTCTCAGGATCCAGATAGGTTGTTTTGGAAATTGACAAAGGACGGTAGGTTCTCGGTTAAATCCATGTATCTGGATGTCATTAATACTAGTGTCATTCCTTGCTCCAGACATGTCTGAAAAGTTAAGGTACCTTTGCGAATTAAAGTGTTTATGTGGTTTGTGCATAAAAAAGTAATTTTGACAAAGGATAATCTGGCAAAACGCAATTGGGTGGGTTCTGCTAGATGTAGTTTCTGCGATTGTAATGAAACTATCAGGCACCTCTTTCTGGATTGTCCACTGGCTAAGCTTCTTTGGCGTTCGATTCATATTGCCTTCAATATTATTCCACCTACTTCTATCAATATGTTGTTCGGAACATGGCTTGATGGGGTAGACTTGGTTTTAGCAAGACTCATTCGTGTTGGCGCGTGTGCCTTGTTATGGGCAGTATGGAACTGCAGAAATGATTTGGTTTTTAACAGAGCAACGGACTTTCATTTTTTGCAGGTTATCTTCAGGGCCACAGCGTTGATCCGTATGTGGTCGCTACTCACTCCGATGGAGGACAGGGGGCATTTGGCTACTGCGTCTACCTGATGGGAGATGGTAGCTCGGGTTATTTTCAACCGGTTTAGATGGCGGTCATGTAATAGGATAGGCATGTAGTGCTCCTATTTTTTGCCAGCCGGTTGTGGCTTTATGTTTACGCTCGTCTGAGCGGCTTGTCGTCTTTTTTACTTTAAACCTGCTGAAGACTTTGTGACACTCTCTATTTTAATATTATGAGCCGTATGCATCTTATTGATGCAGAGGCTGGGGTTGCACCCCTTTTCAAAAAAAAAAAAGCTTGCATAGTGAGGAGAGTAACATCTCTTCATGCCACCGACCACCATCAAACTGTACATGGAGTTCTTTCAAATGGGTCAGGTTCCCCAGTTCCTCGATTGTATATAATCAACTGTTGGTAGTATTAAAGCCCGAGATCACCTGTAAATTCCGCATATTTCCAATCCCATTGGTATCTTCATTCTACCGCAAGGATTATCATTGGATTCTGGATCTCTTGCAGTGAGTAGATGTTGTAGCTTAACGTGCTGAATAATTCCAGTGGGCAATTTTGTTATATATGTATCTCTAAGATCTAGTGTCTCTAGACCATATAGCCTCACAATCCCCGATGGTAGGTTCAACATGTCAGTGCCCCTAAATCTCAGGTACTTCAGCTGAAAAAGTTTATCTATACCATCAATATCATACTGATCGTGCAAACCCTTACAATCATTAAAATCTAGTACACGCAATGCTTCAAACCGAACAAGCCTAGGCAAGTGTTTGATGCAAGTTGATCCTATCACTGTCAGAGATCGTAGATGGCTTAGATCTTCATTTTCCAATATAGATGCAAGCTCTGGGTCAATTTGCTGGACTGATAGTCGCTGAATAAGACCATCACAATTTGCTAAATCAGTTTGACCATGGCCTGCCAAAGAGATGAAGTTATCTTCAACCGATTCCGAAATAATGAGCTCGAGCATCATGTCATGGACTTGACAAGCACGCGCCTTTCCATCATAGCCAATCTCAACCGGTTGGACCATACTTTTGTTTATTAGCTCATAGAAACGGTTCTCGGCAACCTCTTGTTTGGTCTGTCCGCACTCTTCAGAGATAAAGCCTTCTGCTATCCATCGCCTCACTAAAATATCTCTCTCAATCACATAGATCATCCCTCGGACCATCAATGCCCACAAGTTGTGCTTCCTCAACAAAAAGAGCAGACAAGCCGGGATCCACGGCTGAATGCTCAAAGGTGCTACAGGGTATATATATCATCCAGCTTGTAACTACTCTTCAACTCTTTTACCTACTTGATGCGAATCTTTAGATCATCGATTTGGCTAGCGATTCCACGATGAGAGCCTAGCGTCTTGAGCCGGCGAGCGGTCTTGCGGAAGAACTCTTTGAAGCCATGCTTATGCTGGACACCATTACCAAGCTGGTGGATGAACTTGTCGATGACATCTTCGATGTCGTAGGCCAGCTCCCTCACCAGGGATATCCACGCCTTCACCTGGACGTCAGGATCTTGCAGCATTGTATACTTGCAGACCGCGCCATGCATGCATGTCAGCTCAGCTTTGAGCGAGCGGATATCTCGGCGGACGCCTTTCAGGCGGGCGCACTCACCGGCAAGCAAACCGGTGAGCTTCCCCAGCAGGGGACCCAACACACCGTGCGAAGCACTCACCGCCTCCATTGACCTCTAGCTCTCTATTGCTCTCGTTTGTGCTAGCTTGGTGTGGAAAGAAGTGCAGGAAGAGGACTCCTACTGCTCCGGCTAGCCTGATGAGATATGGATTCACTGGCCATGGCCAGTAGATGAGATATGGGGAAGAAAATTCCGACGACTGAGGCCCCAAGTCGTCGCATGCTCCTCCTTTTCTTGACTCGAGTGTAGATATTTTTCTTAGCCTCTAGCCATGCTGCTCACGCTCTATCCTTGGCTGTGGTAGCTGTGGACAGTGGACAGCGTCCTGTCTGCTTCACAGCTCCGGAGGCCTTCTCTCGGGTAAACAGGGAAACGATTAGAGCACAGTGGCCAATATGCAAGCGACTAGTCCAAAACAAATATGCTCCACTCACACATTATCTCACGTCTTGTCATATCATAACTTTATTAGAAGCAGAGAAATGCAAGTGGAGTAATTAAGCGAGCTGTGCTGCTGCCTGAAGATTTATCACTCGAGGCCAATAAAAGAATTTGAACGAAAATTGACCAAGGGAGCATCCAATGCTAGGACTTCCTGGGTGACTAGTTGTGGTGTAACTGTATAAGCTGTAAAATGTTTTTTACCCAAAAAGCGGTAAAAAGTTTTTTTACCAACTGTAAAAGGGTAACTTCAGTTTTTCTTTAAGGTCATGGGGTGCTTTTGTAGATCACCTGAATATTTCATTAAGCCATGAAGGTGGATTTATAGGGTTCGGGCGTCCGCAGCCGGAGACAATGTTGTGGACAAGCTCGTGCTTAATCTAGCCAACTTTACTAGCATCACATTTCTTTACTCGTTACTTCCTTTTTTCTCATCTCTCTATTAGTTATTAAGTGAGTCATGTACTAGTTAACTTCCGTTTTTCTTACTGCATACTTCTTCCTTCCCTACTCTGATTTTTGCAGTTTGTGATGCGACTGTCACGCGACGACCTCATGACTTGTCTGGCAACGTTCCTACCCGCGATCTTGGACGCCTTTGAAACCCACCGTCCATATGTTTGCAAGGTTCATTCATTCCCACTTACTTTTATTTATAAGTTGTGTTTTCAATTTTTCTGGCAACACCGTTCCCTTTTCTTTCATTTTCCCAGAGGTCTGAATCCTGAAAGGAAGAGTTCAGAGAAGCGAATAGAAGATTAAAGCTTAACATGATAAGCCGTCCAGTCCTCAGTCCTCACACGAATGAACCACATCTAAACATTTTTCTAGATTTTAGACCTGTCTAAAACTCAGAATTTGGTTCACTGGAAGGTCAACAACGGACAGAGCCCCTGCTGAGCTAAAGTCTGCATAGGAAAACCTGCTAGAATGTCAAGGCGTCGAGCTCCCCCAGTGGCACAACCCAACCTTTTCGTTCAGTAGAATTTCGTAGATAGTACACTTGAGTACTTGAGGCAATAATTTGGCCACGTTCATGGGTACCTGTAATTGGATCCACCGGATATCAAAACTTTGTCTGCACTGCACCCCCATGTCTCCGTTCTGAACCTGACTGACTCTGCATCTTCTATGGCTGTCTCCTCACCCAGATGGTGAAACCGACGAATGAACTCACCCAGCTTTCACTTCTGTCAAAACAAAAGACATTCAAAGTCTCTAACCTGGACAAACCCTTTGCTGCATTGCATATGATGTGTTAGACTGTATTTACATGTGTATATTGTAACGTTGTATACCACCTCATTATATATATATGTGATAGGCCACCCCTAGAGGGTTGTGCCGGTTCCCCCAAAGCCCTCTTACATGGTATCACGCTAAGTTACGTTCGCTTCCGCCTAAAAACCCTAAACCGCCGCCGCCGCCGCCGCCACCGCCGCCGCCGCGCCCGCCGCCGCCGTCGCCCGACTGCTATGACGTCCGCCGCTGCGTCCGGCTCCACCGCCACCGGTTTTCTGCCGGCCTCCCGCGCGGCACTTCTCTCGAGGCCGCTGGATGCCGCCTCCCTTCAGGCGCCGATCGGGACACGGAGCGTCGGCTCCCTCTTCGCGCTCCCGCCGGCTGCTACTTCGCCCGGGCAGGCGCTTGTGGCCCACACCACCGCCGCCTCGTCAACCGCGGCTGTCGCGCCCTCGGCCACTGCGCCGCTGGTGGCGGAGGACGTCGCACTGGCAGGCTTCGCGGCGTCAACCGCGGCCATCGCGCCCTCTGTCACCGCGCCGGCTGCCCTTCCGACTGTCTCCACGGTGTTCTCACCTCAGCCAGTCTCCTCGATGGGATCGCAGCCGCCGCCGCCGTTTCACTTCGGCCATCTCATCACCATCAAGTTGTCGTCGGACAATTACATCTTCTGGCGCGCGCAGGTTCTTCCGCTTCTTGGGAGTCACTACCTGCTTGGCTATGTCGACGGCTCTCTCCCTTGCCCTCCTGCGCTGGTTGACAGCGTGCATGGTCCGGTCTATAATCCGGCTCACCGTGTCTGGACAGGGCAGGATCAGGCGAACCTCTCCTCCATCCAGGGGTCGCTCTCTCCGGCCGTTGCTGGGCTTGTTGTCTTCGCCAAGACGTCCCACGAGGCATGGACTATTCTTGAGCGCTCGTTTGCGGCACAGTCGCAGGCTCGTGTATCTGGGCTCCGTCGCCAACTTGGGGAGTGTCAGAAGCTTGACTCCACCGCCACTGAGTTCTACAACAAAGTCAAGAGTCTCGCCGACACGCTGGCCTCCATTGGACAGCCCCTCACCGACTCCGAGTTCAACTCGTTTATCGTCAATGGTCTTGATGAGGAGTATGACGCCCTAGTCGAGATCATCAATGAGAGGGGCAACTCCATGCCCATGCCAGCACACGAGGTCTTTTCACGCCTCCTGCTTACTGAGCAACGAGTCGAGACGCGCCGATCCAGGGGCAACGGCGCCCTCTCGGCAAACGCTGCCACCAAGGGTGGTCGCTCCTCTGCTTCATCCAGGGCTCCTTCGGGGCAGTCACCACCACTCGCCTCGGCCCCTCCTCCTACTGCGACGCTACCAGGGGCTGGCGGTCCACGTGTGTGCCAGCTTTGTGGTCGCGATGGGCACTGGGCCTCGAAGTGTCACAAGCGCTTCCAGCGGGGTTTTCTTGGTCTTGGCAATGACGGGAAGGATACACACAACTTTGCTCGTCAGGTCGCCATGGCTGATCGTCCGCCGCCGCAGAAGCCACAGGGACACACTCAGTCCTACTCCATTGATCCCCACTGGTACATGGACTCTGGGGCGACAAAGCACCTGACCAGTGAGATGGGGAAGCTTCACACTCGTGAACCCTACCATGGCTCCGACAAGATCCACACCGCCAATGGAGCAGGTATGCACATCTCTCATATTGGTCAAGCATCACTTCTCACTAGACATGCCAATAGGAGTCTTCAACTTCGCAATGTTCTTCGAGTTCCATCTGTGACACGTAATCCTCTTTCAGTTCCTAAACTCACTCGTGATAATAATGTGCTTTGTGAATTTCATCCTTTTGATCTTTTTATTAAGGATCGGGGCACGAGGGACATTCTTCTTAGTGGGCGGCTCTGCCAAGGTCTCTATCGTCTGGAGCATCCTGGCGTCGCTCGCGTCTTCAGTGGAGTTCGGGTATCTCCGTCACAGTGGCATGCTCGTCTTGGTCACCCGGCCACACCTATTGTCCGGCATGTTTTGCGTCGTTATGAGCTTCCTAGTGTGTCTAGTAATAAAGATGTAGCAGTGTGTGATGCTTGTTAGCAGGGGAAGAGTCATCAACTTCCTTTTTCGGAGTCCAGTCGTGAGGTGAAACATCCTTTAGAACTTGTGTTTTCAGATGTATGGGGTCCTGCTCAGACTTCTGTTAGTGGTCATAATTATTATATCAGTTTTGTTGATGCTTACAGCCGCTTTACCTGGCTTTATCTTATCAAACATAAATCTGATGTGTTTGACATTTTTGTTCAGTTCCAAAAACATGTTGAACGCCTTCTCAAGCACAAAATTGTTCATGTTCAGTCGGACTGGGGTGGCGAGTATCGCAACCTCAACTCCTTCTTTCAGTCGCTCGGGATCACTCACCGTTTAGCATGTCCACATACACATCAGCAGAATAGTTCAGTAGAACATAAGCATCGTCACATTGTTGAAGCTGGTCTGACTCTTTTGGCCCATGCATCTGTTCCGTTTCGTTTTTGGAGTGATGCTTTCACCACTGCATGTTTTCTCATCAATCGTACTCCCACTCGTGTTTTGAATATGAAGACTCCCATTGAAGTTCTCCTTAATGAACAACCGGACTACACCTTTCTCAAGGTGTTTGGGTGTGCTTGCTGGCCCCATCTCCGTCCATATAACAAGCGTAAGCTCGAGTTTCGTTCCAAGAAGTGTGTTTTTCTTGGTTATAGCTCTCTTCATAAAGGATACAAATGTCTTCATGTTCCCACTAATCGTGTCTACATCTCTCGGGATGTTGTGTTTGATGAGCATGTTTTTCCCTTTGCCAACCTCCCTGTGTCCACTACCGAGCCACCTGTCATGCATTCATCCTCTGTTGCTTCTGACCAATTTGATGATGTTGCATATTCTCCTCTATTGTTGCCTAACCATGGTGCAGGCACTGGTCGTGGGGCTCGTTTGGAGATTCTGGAAGCGCCATCTTCCTCTTCGTCGCCATCGCCTTCATCCTCGGCACCTTCTGTTGTGCATGAGGAGCACATGGCGCCCCTGCATGGCCTCGGTTTCCGTGCTCATGCACGGCCGATCGACGTCCTGGCCCGGTCGCCTCTGGCTTCTGGGCTGCCTTCGCCATCGTCGCGCCTTGCAACCCCGCCGACTGGGCCGGCCTCCTCGGTCCCCGTCTCGCCCAGGGCGTCGGGGCAGTCATCACCAGGCCTGGCCTCGCCCGCCCCTGCCTCGCCCAGGGTGTCTGGGCCCTTCTCACCAGGGCCGGCCTCGCCTGCTCTCGCCTCGCCAAGGCCGACTGGGCCGGTGTCACCGGAGCTGGCCTCGCCCACCCTCGGTTCGCCCATGGCCTCTGAGCCCCTGTCGTCG